ATTGCAATTAAACAATGAGTGTAAAACTGATGTTCTCTCATGTAACCACATAAACTATCACTTAATTCAAAATAAAAACTTGAAAGGAAAAAAAAGAACCATATATGCAGCAAAGCTGTCTGTCCTTCAAATACCATGGCAAAATTAGGACATCTTCAGATAAACAGAAATTAAAGGAATTCTTAATAACCAGCCCAATTTTACAAAACAAAACTAAAAGGTATTCTTTGGACTGAGAAACAATAATAGAAGACAACAACCTGAGATTAACATACATGACAACACCATTCAGAATTTAATCCAGATAAAGAAATATTTAAAGTGAAACAAACCTACAAGACTGAAAACAGTGAATCAGAAATAACAATTTATGATTAAGTCAACTACAAAGCAAAAATAGTGTAGATGGAGAACTTCCAATCACAGAAGAAGTCAAGTTGATTTTAAGATAAAACAGACTATTTTAAACAAAACAAAATTAATACATTACAGGGTCTCCTCAAAGAAAATTAATACACTTTCACATCAAAATAAAAAGAAACAGTCATATCAGAAAGATTCAGTAAACATTAAAACAACGGCAATGAAGAAAATGAAAAGAAACTCACAAACAAAATGAATTCAGTACAGAAATTTATGTGAAACAAAGAAACTAGCCATACCACAAAACAACAACAACAACAAAAACACAGCAAAATGGCAGCAATCTATTCATACCTATCAATAATGGCACTGAATGTAAATGGATACAATGCACCTTTCAAGAGACAAGAGAGTAGCAAAATGTATACAAATTTTGTACATACTCACAGCCAGAATGCTCCTTGGAAGCCCGGATGGCCAGACAGTCTCTCACACTATGGACATATTGTCAGGAAGGACCTGGAGAAGGAGAGCATGTTTGGTAAAGTGGAGGATGGGGGAAGTAGAGGAAGATCCCCAACTAGATGGATTGGCACAGTAGCAGCAGCGATGGGCTCCAATGTAGCAACGATTGTGAGGATGGCAGCGTTTCATTCTGCTGTTCATAGGGTTGCCATGAATTGGGACCAACTCGATAGTACCTAACAACAACAACACACAATGGACACAATGGAGTACTATATGACATTGAAGATCATGACAAATCCGTGAAACACCTCATAACCTGGATGAACCTGGAGAACATTATGTTGAGTGAAGTTAGTCACTTATACAAGAGAGCTCTGGTTGTTGTTGTTGTTGTTTAGTGCCGTGGAGTCGGTTCCGACCCATAGCGACCCTGAACAGGGTTTCCAAGGCTGTAAATCTTTACGGGAGCAGAAAGCCTGATCTTTCTCCCACGGAACAGCTCGTAGCTTCGAACTGCTGACCTTGCAGTTCGCAGCCCGATTCGTAACCACTACGCTACCAGAGCTCGTCTGCTCTCTTGCTCTCTTGCTCTCTTGCTTTCTTGCTCTCTTGTTCTCTTGCTCTCTTGCTCTGGTCGCGTAGTGGTTACGAATCGGGCTGTGAACCGCAAGGTCAGCAGTTCGAAGCTACCAGCTGTTCCGTGGGAGAAAGATGAGGCTTTCTGCTCCCGTAATGATTTACAGACTCAGAAACCCTGTTCAGGGTCGCTATGGGTCGGAACCGACTCCACGGCACTAAAAAACAACAACAACAAGGGCAAATATTGTATGAGACCACTGTTATAAAAAGTTAAGAAAAGGTTTTCTTGCTAAAAGATAAATTCTTTGTTGGTTACCAGGGGTGAAAGGATGGGAAAATTTAGCAGGGGGTAAAGGGTAGACACATGTTAACTTGAGTGTTGGGGAAGGCACATACAACAAGAAGGAGGTTCTCACAGGAAAGATTAAGGTAGTGGAAGACACAGAGAGTAGTGCAAGGGCTAAACCAAACAGAAGTAAAAACTGTTGACTGATGGTACATGGAAGGGATTACAATCATTGTAATGACATGAAGTATATGAATTGTCAAATGTGGGACTGATGATCTGTCCTGTAAACCTTTGCTCAATTCCCAAAATAAGGTTGAAAAAATATTGCTACAAAATCATAAAAAAAACTTTTTAACTGAAAATAGCAAAATGAGAAACAATTGTTTCACAGCATATCTTCCAAATAAGGATTGCACACTCCTGAAGGCGTTTTTCATCTGTCGCTATGGGTTGGCTCCGACTCGAAGGCACTTAACAACAACAACCCTTCCCCAAAGATACCTGGTAGCATAGTGGATTATGACCTTGGCTGCTAACAGAAAGGTGATCAGTTTGAATCTACTAGTCATTCCATGGGAGAAAGATAAGACCTTCTGCTCCACTAAAGACTTACAGCTTCAACTCCATGGCGTACAACCACCACCAACAACCACCCTTTCCTCAAATTCTGTGCTTCTTGGTTTATACCACATCAAAATGGCAGTTTGGACACCCTTCCAGGGACTCAAACTGTGTACCATTTCAATGTTCTTTGAGTTTGGGGAACAAAAAGAAGTTTTGAGGGTTCAAGGTCAGGGCTGTAAGGTGGATAGGGTAAGGTGTCTCAATGAAATTCTCATGGACATCCCTTGCTACCTTCAAATAATGACCAGGTGGATTGTTGTGATCTGTAACAATTCCTCAGATCAACTTTCCTGGTCTTTTTCTCAGCAATACAGCTTTCAATTTTCTTAAACTTTCTTCATAAAAAGACGCCATGATAATTCTATGTACTTTGAGAAAACCTAACAAGAACACTCCTTTGAAATCCAAAACACAGTCACCATAACTTTGTGACTTGATTTGAATTTTACTGACTCTGCACAGTTACCTATTAGCCACTGTTTTGATTGGATCTTTTGTTTAAATACATTTTGTTTGGAATAAACCAATGCGTGTATGAACTGGAACCCTAGTAGCAATATTTTTTGACTTACCCTCTTCTTTTGTCTAGGTGATGGGTGTCTGGCAGTTTCTTTGACTTGAACCTTAACTGCTCCCCACTGATCCACTCAGCCTGTATTCTCTCACTATATATGCTTCAGGAATAGAAGGAAAGAAACAAAGGAGATCTGTACATATAGAAAAACAAAACTGAAATGAGCAAATGATAAAGTACTTCTGACAACGTGAGAATTCATTCCAATTTTAAAACTTGATCCTGAATGTATGATCTGTGAAAGAAAGATGAAGCTTTCTGCTACCGTAAACATTTATAGCCTCAGAAACCCTGTACAAGGTCACCAAGGTCACCATGAGTTGGAACTGACTCTGTGGTACTTAACAACAACAACAAATATATATATATATAGTATCAACCTAGTTACTTCTAGCATCGGGGTCCTGGTGTGGGGCTGTGGGTTAAAGTGTCAGACTGCAAAGCTGTTTGAATTGCAAGGTCAGTGGTTCAAGCTCACCAGCTGCTCCTCGGAAACTCTATACAGAGTTGCTTAACAACAACTTCTAGCATCACATGACAGCCGAAAGAAGATCTTAACAAAATGAAAGTGCCAGAGTTTTCAGTCATAAATAATCTCAGGTATCTCTGTGTACTCCTGTCTTCAACACAGCTTGCTGTAAAATGACACCGACATGCATGTCCCAACCACTACGTTATGACACCGTAGGGTACAAACTATGATTCACTCCTCTTTGCATTTCTAGAAAAATCTTGCTCAATGGCTTTGTAAAATATATAATACATACACATATTAAATGTTTTTAACTGAACTGAAAACATCTAAAAGATTTTTTATTTCCTGTTGGCACAAAATAGACATTCAAGGATTATTAATGAATGAATGAACACCTGCCTGACAAAAATGAATGAATACTTTTTAAAGTAAGTGCACATTTTAAACATTTACTTTACTTATCAAATCTTAAAAAATTAAAATAATTAAAACTTGCAAAGTGAAAGACAAGCCAAGTGAATAAGTGTATAAGTGTTAGCTTTGACTAATATCCTATCAAAATTCATCTTACCTGAAATCTCAGAATGAACCCTAATTTGGAAATAGGGCCTTTGCACATGTAATTAGATAAATGAAGTCAGACTGGATTATGTTGGAGCTTAAACCAGTGACTAGTTTCCTTGTAAGAAGAGAAAGCAAAGACAGAGAGACTCAGAGGGAAAGGAGCCACAGAGACACATGCAGCGAGAAGATGATCATGTGACAACTGAGGAGAAAATTGGAGCTATTCTACCACTAACCAAGGAGCCCCAAGGATTGCTAGCAACCTCCAAGTCTTTGGAGAGAGCACAGCCCTGAAGACACCTTAATTTTTAATGTCTAGACTCCAGAACAGACAAAGAGTATGTTTCTGTGGTTTTAAGCCACTCAGTTTGTGGTCATTTGTTATGGAAACCCTAGGAAACTGAAAATATTGCCATATTTTCTGTGAGTTTGGTTCTTACAACTCAGCTCTCCTAGGTTGATAACTATTTATTGTATGGGACCTTTCAGAGTTTCAAATTCTCTCCATGAATGTTCTTTAGTTGTCCTATGCCACCATTTTCCAAATACTGATGGTCATTCATGAAAAACTTCTTACAATAGATGGAAGCATCACAGAGAATTCTGCATATGGTGGACATTTGAGTGTAGATCCAGTAGGACTAGAATTATATGTATACTTTTATCGAAGTATTTTTCTGGGGTTAAAAAAAGGCTTAAAATACTACTGTCTTAGTTTCCTAGGGCTGTCATACAAAATATCACAAAGTAGGTGAATTGAAAGAACAGATATAATTTCTCATTGTTCCAGAGGATAGAAATCCAAATTCTGAATTTGACTGTGTCAATTCCTTCTAAGGGCTTTGAGAGAGGAACTTCTAGACCTCTCCCCTAATTTCTAATGTTGTTTACAAAGCTTGATATTCCTTTGCTTCTTGTAGATGCATTGCCTCCAGCCTTAAGACACCACTTGAGGTGCCTCAAGTGGTGATTCTGTGTCCATGTCTGTCCTCTCCTTTCATAAACATCATTCAGAAAGGATTAAGACTAGGACCCAATCTATTCTGCTATGAATTAACTGACATATGGAGCTTTGGATAAAGCACTGGACCAAAAGTTTACTGGAATCAGTAGGTCAGCAGTTCAAATTCACCAGCTGCTCCTTGGATACCCTATACAGGATCACTATGAGTCATAATTGATGCCACAGCACTTACCAACAGCAACAACAACATCTTCAGAAAAGGCTTCCTTCCCTTAAAAAGGTCACATTCAAAGGTCACAGGGATAATGACATCAATATATTCATTGAGGACACGATTAAATGCACAGTATCATTTAGTTTTTGAATAAGCAAGTAACATGCCATGTCTAATCAAGCCTTTAGCTAATTTTCAGGAATTATGGAGGACAAAGAGATAAGTGAAATAAAACCATGAAGACACAAAGACAGACAAATCCAGACTGAGATATTTAATAGAAAACTGACTTACGTTATTCAACACGATAAAGGCAAGAAAAGTAAAAAGAATACAGAATACTGTTCCAGATTAAATGGTTTAATAAGAATGACTTAATGTCACTTAAATCATTGCAATTGAAAGAAATATGTAAACCTTTCAAAAAGCATATTTTATATCATTGAAAAAAATTTAAAATAGGTTATGTATTGCTTAATCACAAATGTTACTGTTAATTGTGTTTCAGGAACTAATGATATTACAGTTATGGAAGCAAATATCCATATTTTTAGTGATGTATAACTAAGAACTTACTAATGAAATAAAATAATGCTTAGGACATATATTCAAAATGATTTTAAAATAAAACAAAAATACATAAAATAAAAAGAAAACACACAAAACAAGCTCATTACCAAGAAGCCAATTCCATCTCCTAGCAACCTTCTATAAGCTGTACATTTTTATAGGAGCAGAAACCCTCATCTTTCTCCTAAAGCTCTATGGATAGGTTTGAACCACTGACCTTGCCATTTGCAGTGCTTATCCTACAACATCATCAGGAATCATTGCAAAATATAAAGCAAATATTTAAAAATTCAGAGCCTTGTTGAATCTAGATGCTAAGTACATGGAGAATTATTATTTTACTCTACTTTCAGGGATGCATGAAATTTGTTGTTGTTAAATGCCATCTAGTTAGTTCTGACTCATAGTGACCCTATAGAGGTTTTCCAAGGAGAAGCTCATGGGTTTGAACCTCCAGTCTTGTGGTTTTCAGTCCAGTGCATATCCTATAGGGCCACACCAGGACTCTGTAATAATAACTAAAATGGATGCATGTTTGTGTCTATATGTGTGTGTCTAGTCCTGGTGTAGCACTGTACAATACACACAGGACTACTAACCATAAGGTTGGTGATTCAAATTCACCAGCAGCTCCTTGGAGACCCTACGTAAAATAGCTATGAGTCGGAACCAACTCCACAGCATTTAAGAATAGCGGTTCGAAACTACCAGCTGCTCCGCGGGAGAAAGATGAGGCTTTCTACTCC